TAAAGTTTCAAAGCGTTTTAAACTAAAGTCTGTTGAGTTTCATTTGACTTAGTGATTTTCAACGACCTGGGGGTGTAGTCCCCTGGTCGTTCCTACATGTTTATTTGATTTCACCCACATGCGATGCTTGTATATTTGTATGTCCACACTTACATTTCTTCTATACATGTTGTATTGGAGAAATAAGAAAATTCATAAGCCTTAGCAAACACCCTCCCACGCTCCTTTAAATAGTCAGAGCAAACAAAATGGTGGCATACACATAGGACAAAGTTATAAGTTCTTAAGCAAAAGAACATATGTACAGTCTCAAGACCTTTCTTGAAGGATTAGAAGGTAGAAAACCTCTTTAAGTTTTAATAAGAACCCAGCTGTACATGCAAGGTGGTGAAATGAAATCAATTATAGTAATACTTTACACTGTTACGCTTGTTTGTAATAACTTTTGATAGTCCAGGAATTTAGAAATTTTGTTTGTGCCATTAGAATTGCTAGGTCCATCCCTTCCTTAGAAATAAGGAACGGATCAAAATGACAAGGCCTTAGCCTTTTTTGGATGTCCCTCTATAAACTCAACGACATACCTTGACCAAAATTACGCAGCTAGAACAGCCAAATCAAATTCAGCTTCTATTATTAATTGATAACAACCAGGGATCAGGTGAAAGTGAATAGACTTTAGAACATGCATAACATTTTAACTCGGTATCAGTCATTTAAACTAAACTACATACACAACCAGTCGATACATTAACATGTACATGGCATGCACATACATGTAGTTACATGCACCACTTACTAGTTTACTGTCTCCTAGAGCATGATGAATTCGTGCAATAACTCTATATATAATAATACAATGGAATATATAAGTACTTGAATGACACAACTCACTTATAACAGTTTGCTATGTTGACATGTAGTGGCCCAAAGACTTGAGCAAACAATTGCACAGCTTCAGATAGATAGTCAAGAGCAACTTCAATATTACCAGACTGCAACTGAACCTGAGCCAACTCATACAAACCAGAGGCTTCAAGAGGCTGGGGGGATTGAGGGAAAGAAAATTTAAGATAAAAAGAAAATTAGAAATACAATGAAATTGTTGAAGATTGAAGTACACATACATGTAAAAGACATAATATACCATCGATCTGAAAATTTTTCACTGTGATTTTAATTTCACTGGATTAGAATTCCAAAAAAAATAGATCACCTACATAATTATATGCCACATTCAATAATACATGACACAGTCTTATTTGGTAAAATTAAATAACAGCATCATTTAAAAACACAAAAGTTTCTACCACATAAATTCCCTAAACTACGGTATATATTGTGTAGC